AACATTCATGAGAAGGACTATAACTCAGAATGAGATTTTGATCCTGACACCAGAGCATGCAGTGAAAACATGCATAGTCTTTGCCTCCCAGGAAAAGTCAAGCAAGTGGCACCAGCAAGTCATGGCTACAGATTCTTGGGACAGTGACAGGGTGATCATGAATACTTCTCAAAACTATCAGTGAGGAGTACTATGCTAGTGAACAGTTGTAATTAGGAAGATCATTAGGAAGAAGGGCTGTGGGAAGTTTAGTTGAGAAGTGTTGGTTATCCAAGACAATGCATCACCTACATCACCCAGGTTGCAGTGACCACAGAAACCAAACATGGCTTTGAACAACTTCATCAAGATTTGGCTCCCTCAGACTTCTACCTACTGCCCAAGTTGAAAGAAGGACCTTCATGGGAAGAGTTTCAGTAATGATAATGAGGCAATTTCAGCAATCAAAAGTTTCTGAACATGCAGGACAAGGACTTCTCCAAGACGAGCATAGTTAGCTGAAACTGACTTGGATCAACCGCATTGATATCCAGGGAGAATTACACTGGTATAAGATTGGAGTAACACAGTGGAAAAGTCAAGTGCTGCTCTCTGTGGCTGCCATTCAAGCCAATAGGCTTAACACTAATACTGGCAGGGAATTTTTCAACAAATTTGTTCCCATTGAAAAATGCCAGTGAACTGAAACTAAAACTTATGGCAGAAACACACTGATTATGACTAGGAATATTTCTCAGGTCCATTTTCTTTCAATAGTAATGTGCTTATGAATTAATAGCTTACTTGTACAGTTCATTTGACCAGCGTCAGAATGCTATGTATCCAGAGGAAGATGAAATCTCAGTTCAATCAGGCAGAATGGCTAAATTGCTAAATTTGGCATTTCTGCTTGATGATACTTATTCCCTCCACTCGGCATGGCTTATGGCTGGTTGACTGTGCTAAGAGGGGTACTCGGCAGGCAAAGTGGCTTCTCTCCAACTTGACTTCCCTTTCTCTCTTGCAATTACACACCCTATTGCAGGATTTCTCTCTCATTAGGTTACTTGCTGCCTTCCAGAAATTTTTTGTTACAATTACCCTTTTCACATGTTGAGTCATCTGCTTCTTTCCCCTTATACAAATGTGCTTTAGAACAGAGGCATGCTGTGGTGAATTAAGCATAAAGTCAGGGGCACCCAAACAATAAACCCTGCCCTGACAATGCCACAGGAGTCTTTAAAGGCAGATACCTCAAAAAGGGATTAGACAAATTTCTAGAGGACAGGTCCATTAGGAGTTATTAAGAGAAAACAGTTAAGAGATGGACATACCCTTTGAAAACGCTAAACCAAGTATGACTGATAGCAAGGAGGGTATGACACGGAATAAATCACTCTAGACGTGATGTATTCATATATGCTTCTTCTAAAGCATCTACTATTTGCCACTATCAGAGACAGGATACTGGGACAAATAGACCACCATTCTGATCCAGCACTTCTTATGTTCTTGTTGTGCAATGATTTGGTGAGATGGCATGAATTTCTTCATCTGAAATGGCATGAGTTTCTTCATCTGTAAAATGGCCACAAATTATCTGCTCCACCTGGGGGTAATGGGTGTGTTTATGGATGCAAAACAATTTGAAATCCTTGGGTGGTAAGAGCCAAGTACTCATTAACACATTTATTATTAACAAACAACCCCTGTTAATTAGCATAGTATTTGTTAACAACACTGAAGACCTCAATTTTAGTAAGAACACTTGATCTGGTTAGACAAAGTATCATTTAATTTCAAGGTTTTATAAATACGTATTTACAAAAAAGAAGGTATCAATCCAAAGAGTTAAACAAATGTAAAAACTCTTCAAAGTTGGGCCTTTTACAATTTCAAGATATTGCTTCAGTATAGGAAAAAAATATCATTAACACAATCCCACAATTTATAATACTCGTTATCCAGGAGACTGGTTTAAATTAAAAATACACCATCAAGGCTTTGATCTCCCTTAAACAAGGTTATATAAGAAAAAAGGACCAATCCCTTTTCAGCTATAGTCTTTCACACACAATCAGTTTTATCTATTAAATGGAACAATGTAGCCCACAATTCCATGATCACAGGAACAAGACTGATTCTTTCCCATTCAAATGAATGTTGGGCACATACGGTATGAACTAGTGTAACATTAACATCTCTGCAAATTTAGCATCCAGCATAGGTTTTCAACAGCTCCTGAACATGAATTATTCAGAGAATCTACCTTACAGGCCACATAGCAAATGAAAGGTGAGTAGCAGGATAACAGTTCAGAATCAAACTCTGAGTTTTCAGCAAGCTCTATAACAATGATTCAATTGTGCTTTACTAGACAATGAGCCTAAGTGTATAAATATATCTGTATGAGTAATACATAGCCCCATACTGTACCAAAGGAGGAATACAAGTCAGTCATTTCCACTTGGCAGCAACACTACTCTGTGCTGAGGGGCCAGTAGAGAACACAGCAAATGTAAACACCAATATTTTCTGCAGGGGCAAACTTACAAAAGCACTTTTGAGGCTTCAGCAGCCAGTCTACCCTAAAGAGAGCAAAATACATCTGCACTGTGCCACAGAAAGCGACATAAGATGGCAAGGCAGACTGATGTGCACTTTAACAACCGCCAAGTGTCAATTGCTCACTCATAAATCTGCCTCTATTATTTTATGCAGCTGTTCTTGTAATAGAGTGCCTGTTCGTTCCATGCTCTCCACTCAGACTCACACTGAAGGGCAAGCAGGCACAGTATACAACAAAAGGTTTAGTTCCACTCTAAGTCAGGTGTAATTCATACAGCTCAGAATATCAGAAAGTATCTGCACTGCTCAGATGTCAGTTTACATGGAGTCTACAAGAGGTTTAACAATGCTGCAGAACTGATGGCAAAATTCACTCTGCATTCACCTGAGGCAAATTCAGGACCCACTTTGGAAAAAAAAAATGATTATCTAGCTTAAATCAACACTCAAAATGAGAGAACCAGGGAATGAGATGAAACAGGGACCAAGCTGCATAGTGCAAATGGCAATTGGCTCCAAAGGCAGAATCACTTCTGCAGGCAGTAATTCCACTGGGTGACTTATGCAGGAAGAGAAGAAAAGGAGGCAGTTTCTTAGACAATGTAAGGCCTGGCTTGTTCACATTTTTCAGACTGAGAAAGGATCCACAGTATTTTCAGCTCTTACTTCTCCCCATGCCCTTTTATGGAGGCTGTATAAGGGGTTAAATCTTTTCTTAATTAAAAGATTAAGAAAATTAACTTAATCACCCAACCTACTGGAGGAAATTTGAAATGCAAACAGTTACAGAAAAACAAAGTAATTTTGGTGAGCGTTAACCCGAAGTCTTAAAAGATTTATTGGAAAAAAAAAAACTGTCCATAGTTTTTGTAGGTCCAAAACTCATGGTCATGGGAAAACTCATGGTCATGGGAATTTTCTGTTATACATTGGTATAAATCCAATCTGACTTGCGGGGTTGGTTTGTTTTTTTTTTAAATCTTCAAGATGCTGTTTGGTCATCTTTAGCCACAGTCTGCAGAAGAAAGGAAGACAACATTAGAACTAAAGTTCATCAGAACTAACAGCTGTGCTCCTGGGGCAGCACTTCAGATAGATGGATAGTACGTTCTTGGAGAAGCAACCCATGCATTTTTTAAATAACAGGGCAACAAAATGCTAGGGGGTAACTGAAGAGGCTGCCTGAGCCAAAAAAATTAGTTTTCATTGGATAAAAAAAAAAAAAGTATGCTTCTATACAGAGATAGCCACCTTGATGTAAAATCTTAAGGGAGACAAGGTATAGGTAGTTTTTACCTCGAGGTAGCCAGTCAAGAGCAAATGAATGTAGAAGGTAGTGTTACTGGTGGGGTCAACGAGCTAGAGAGAGGAAAAAGAAGCCATGCCTTGGATTCACTAGGAATTTGCATTGAGGCTGCTATCCTGATGCAACAGCATTCCAATTTTAGGCTTCAAGGCTGTAGCTTTGCTCCCAAGAACTTCAATTAGAACAAGAGACGAGTCCTTTTAGAGTCATGGAATGCACGAAGAACCGTTTGGGCTTCTGCGTCCTCCACGTTTGCACGCACAATAAGCAAGATTACAAGCTCTGTTTAAAACAATCACCAGATGCAATAAACATCCCTCTTATGACTGCAGCTCAATGTGCCCATATTCAACAGCTGAAAGAGTGAGGTGGTAGAAGTGGTAACTGAGGAGGAATACACAGACATTCAGCAAAGAGCCTAGCACTCCGCAATGGTGCATTTAAACCAAAGGGCTAACACAACAGGATCCAGCTGGGTGCCCACTGATGTAGGCTGTATAATTTAGAAGAGGAAACAAGAGGTATTTAGTTACGAGAGTTAAGAATTTTAGCAACTGCCATCATCCTGATATTGTGTTCATTGCTTTCAACACTAAAATCTTATTTCACTAAGGTCCATGGAATCTGCAAGTAACACTAGTAGCTATGGGAACCATGGTATGCTGCAGATGGAACTTAATTACAAGGAGACACAGAGCATCAAATTAATCCATCAGAGAATCAGGATTCTAAGAAGATAAAATATGAACAACCACCCTGGGATACTTGCAATAAGTAGCTTTTCCACCTTCTGTCTTTAGGCCCAGACAGGAGAGAATGCTTGGACAGAAATAAAGATAGAATTTGTAAGAAAACAGCCTTCCTCCACTACTGCAGCAAGAAATTTGGAATGAAACCACCAGTTTGCCTTGTTTCTGAGTACAGCAAACATATGATTTTTATTTTGGTCTTGCTAACAGTGCAAGCTTTCCCTTATGCTGCTGAAAAGGCAATTAAGCTAGCTTGGCCTTACTTTGGCAGTACCAGCTGAAAGCTACTGGTCTGGAGGAGACTGGTCTAAAATAATCTGTCTGATGTTGCATTGTATTTAAATACACACTGAGGGGGTACATTTAAATTTCATTTGGCAACTCCTGGAAACCCTTACCTGCCGCAAGAACTGTTTTCCAAGATAGGTGGTAGCCACACTGGTTAAATTCTTCCTGCTGCCTACTTTACATCTGATATAACCATACAGGTTGGCCCCCTGCAGAATTACGCCCATTGTGACCACTGCCTGTAAGGAGAAGAAAAAGCAAGAATCAGAGGTTTACAGTTCACTATTCTAACAACAGGCATATTTACACATAGTCATTGTAGGACTGAAGTAACAAACTCACCAGCCATTTCACTTTGAAGGAAAACAGGGCACTGAATGCAAATATCACCCAGATCATAGGGCAAGTAATTAGTCCCAACCAGAAGATTCGGGACTCTGCTTCAGAAGACGTCTTATTCCCATGAGCCGATGCCTGGAAATGAAATGGGGCTGAAACTGAGTCATCTGTTTCTTTGTACAGATAATTTTTATTATTAAAAGCAATCCAGGCCCCACATTCCACAAAACCTCATCTCCACATGACAGCAGGGGGATCTTTTTGGTAGACAAGGTACACATCAACTTTAAGGATCTTTTTATTAGTTTTCATAATAATGTGTTGTTCTGAGACATATGGGGGTTGGGAGGGTTCCCAGCTGGCCTCCTGCCTGCTGCCACTCTTGGTATTCAGGCTGCTTGGGTCCATATGCTCTCAGAAGCCACTGCCTGAAGCCACCCTCCTGAAGCCCAGGTGCAACACAGAAAGAGCAACTTGAATTAGTGTTCAGTGGTGAAAGCTCCGATAGGTTTATTGTCTCAGGGCAGTACAATAGTGGATCTTTATAGCAATCAGTCCAGCTCAGTCAAACCGCCCAGGACAATGGTAAGCAATACGTTACATGCAACTCTCACCCCTAAGTTGCTACAAAACAGTGAAGCTGAGAACCCCTGTATTTTTAGCCTAGGTGCCTCTGTACCAATCTTTATTTTTCTCTGTCAAGTTGACCCTCTTTACTCGTCTCTGCCAAGGACAGACACCTGTGGCTCATCCCATGCCAGCTACAACTCCCTCTGCTGATTTCAGGTTCTCCAGCTCACTCGCTGCTTAGTACAGCTCACCTCGTTTCTACTTTACTAGTGAGTTCTAACTTTTACTCCTTAATTTGTTCAGGTACTGTTGCATACTTTGAATCAGCATTTCTGCTCATCATCTTTTACCAGATCACCCAGAAGTCAGTAAAGCCTGCTACTCCCATGGCCCTGAGGTGCCACAGCTTAACTATATATTAGCATAATTACAACCTAATATATCTGAAACTCCTACACTACAAAGGTGAAAAAAGAAAACCTCTACTATTTCAGGACTAGATAAAGACTGCTTCTGCATTATTCATTATTAGTTCCTGATGGCATATAGGGTTCATCATCACATGCTTCACCATACAGCACTACTATTAAAAATAAGGGGGGGGGAAATCGTTGCGATACCTCTTATTACTGTTAAAAAAACTGGTTTGTTTAGGTTTTTTTCCCCTCAGATAACCTGTGTCACTGAGTGGAAACATTAGATTACCCCTGTAGCCCCCCACTCCAAATAACCCTACACCAACTGGCTAACTGAATTGCAGCATCCAAAATGTTAACAACGGTCTGCACTTAGAAAAAAAGTATCTGCTACAGCACTGTGCACTAGGCCTGTGTGAATAGGGAAGTATTCGATTCGGATTCGGTCAATTCAGAGGACAGTGATTCAATTTGGAGATTCGGATCACTGTCCCGAATCAATTCGGCCAAATCGGCTTTGGAAGATTCAGCACTGATTTAGAGAGATTCGGGTCAGCTGGGGAGAGGCAGGCACAGCTGGGCTCCTGCAGGTTCTGCTGCAGCTCCCCCAACCTGGGGAAAGGCAGGCACAGCCAGAGGAGCCACAAGAGAAGCCCTGCCCAGCCCCAGCCTAGTCTTGGCACTTGAAAAAAAAAAGAAGCAAGCCCTGCACTCACCGGCTGCAGCAGCAGCAACTGGGGCCTTTGGGTGCTTGTGGCAGAGCGCCCCCAATGCAGCATGGGGCAGTGGGAATCGGCAGGGTGCTGTGAGCTGTCTGGAAGCTGGGGTGGCTCCACCTGTCAGCCAGAGCCCAGCACTGCTCAGCCCCAGTGGCCCCAGCTCCCAGACAGCATGCAGCACTGCTGCAGCAGATGGTGAGTGCAGGGCTTTTTTCTTTTTAAGTTGGCTGCAGCAGTGGTGATTGGAGTCTCTGGGCACTTGTGGCAGAGCCACCCCACCTCCTGCACAGCATGGGGACCAGTGTGGATCACACCCCACCCTTGGCACTGGCGCAGCAGCCATTGCATCACGCGGGTGCAGCACAGCTCAGCAGGACGCTGTGCACTGTCTGGGAACTAGGGCTGAGCAGTGCCGGGCTCCAGCTGACAAGTGGAGCCACTCCAGCTCCCAGACAGCGCGCGGCACCCTGCTGAGCCGCGCTGCACCTACGCCATGGGGCAGCTGCTGCGCAGGTGCCAAGCAGGGTGCGGGGCAATCCCTGCTGCCCCCCACTGAGCAGGGAGGCTTTACCATGAGTACCCAGAGGCCCCAATCACTGCTGCCAGAGTGCAGGGCTTTTTTTAAGTGCCCAGAGGCTGGGATCAGGCAGGGGATAGGGCCAGGATGGGCAGCCATGAGGGCTTCTCCCATGACTCCTCTGGCTGTGCCCACCTCTACCCCAGTGAGGGGGAGCCACAGGGGTTATGCCCTGCTGCC